AAGTTGGAACCTAGAGCTAGGAAGTGTGTTTTCTTAGGATACCCCGAAGGTGTTAAGGGTTATAGATTATGGGATAGAAGCCAAAACGGAGTTAAGATCATCATAAGTAGAGATGTCACGTTTAACGAAAAAGAAATGCCGTGTATTAAAGGGAAAACTGAACCCGAAAGTGAAGTAGAATCGGGTGAAGAGAGAGACCAATTTAAGGTGGAGTTAGGAAAACTCAGTCCACCTGTCCCTACTGTCTCAAATGAGGTGGAGACTCAAACTCAGGAACCCGAAGTTGAAAATAGTAACGAAATAGTGACAGAAGAACACTATGAGGAAGAAAACTACATGCAATAGTAACATAAAAAAGGAGCTTTGCATTCAATTGTACCAGGTCAATTGATAGAAAGTTGTTACTAATAAAGAGGAATGTTAGCACTTACCTCCACAGTTACTAGAGGGGGGAGAGAGAGTTCTATTTGAGTTTGAACGGCTAAATATACAATCTAGAAGATATCGAAATTCGATATTTTTTCACTCTTTCCACCACCATAAAGATAGAATTTGTATAGGTCATTTTTTCTTATTAAAAGTACGATTCAATTATTTCAATAATACTTTTTTTTTCATTTTTCATTATGTATTTAATTTATCGAATCATTTAGTTATTATCAATGTACATGTACATTTGACAAATTCATTCACATTTGTGCTTTCATTAATGTATGAATCCCCTATTATTAATTTTTAATTAATTAACATTCACATTCAATAATGCATCTTATTATTCACGTCCATGTATGCTAATTAAAATCCTGTTTTACTTAATTTAAAATTAAATAAATGATGTAAGATTCATTGTTACATATATATTCTTTGATATTAATTCTAAATTAATTAATATTTATGCATATTCAAATATTACTTTTACAACACTTATAAAGTATTTTATGATAAGGTACAACGTACATTCAACGTTGACTAGTTCCACTAAAAGTTGCATTATTCGACTGCATGGAAGAAGCTACTTAACTTATTAACTTGACAATTACATCATAGAACATGTTAATTTAATATTCTTTGGCACGGTCCAATATTATGTTGAATTATATTATTTAAAAGTTTAACTTGTTCGAGGTAATACACATTTACTTATATAAATTCTATATTCAACAAAAAGAGTGGATATTGCATGATTGGAACAATGAAGACAGTGTTAAAATATTGAAGAAATGCAAAGAAGCAATTTCAATAAAAAGCAGAGAAAAAGTGATAATTATTGAAATGATTCTTAGCAAAGACGAAAAGGGGGGCAGGTGGACTGAGTTTTCCTAACTCCACCTTAAATTGGTCTCTCTCTTCACCCGATTCTACTTCACTTTCGGGTTCAGTTTTCCCTTTAATACACGGTATTTCTTTTTCGTTAAACGTGACATCTCTACTTATGATGATCTTAACTCCGTTTTGGCTTCTATCTAAGGAACAATCCCCTTGCAATGAGCGTGAAGTTGAATACATGAGTAGAGTACCTTACTCAAATGTGATTGGTTCCATAATGTACTTGATGGTTTGCACTAGACCTGATTTAGGTTTTGCTGTTAGTACTCTGAGTAGATATATGGCTAATCCGAGATCTGAACATTGGGAAGCGCTAAAGTGGCTGTTAAAGTACTTGAAGGGTACTAGTAACGTAGGCTTAAAGTTTAGTGCTAATAGAGAAGGCATAAAATTAAAAGGTTTTGTAGATGCTGACTATGCGGGTGATAGGGATGGTAGGAAATCTACTTCATCTTACGTGTTTACCTTATCTAATTCATGTGTAAGTTGGAAATCACAGTTACAACATATTGTTGCACTATCCACTACAGAATCAGAATATATTGCCACCACTGAAGCTATTAAAGAAGCTCTATGGCTTAGAGGTCTACTTCATGAATTATGTGTTCTGAATGATTATGTGGTAGTGTATTCCGATAGTCAGTCATCCATACATTTATGTAAAAAACCTGTTTTTCACGAGCGCACTAAGCACATTGATGTAAGACTCCACTTCATTAGAGATATAGTATCTCAAGAGGTGGTAAGACTTGAGAAAGTTCATACCCACTATAACCCATCTGATATGGGGACGAAGGTACTGCCACTGGCAAAGTTTAGGAGTTGCAAGGAACTTCTAAACATTGGTACAGGTAAATGATTTCCAATTTTATTGTTTTTCTATTAGAGGTGTCACTAATGGGAAACAATTTTCTTTGCAGGTCCTTTGACACCAAGGTGGAGGTTGTTAGGCAATTTTGTTGTCAAACGACCTCCCCGGGCGATGATGTAACCACGATTGTTTATTATCAATCGGCCTCGGCCTAATGATTGATTAGCACATCGACACAATTAACGAGACAATACAATCCATTTTCTTATGAACCGTTCGAAGCAACCTATTTTATAGTGTTGCTCACGGTTCCCGCACCATTCCTTGGAAGGCTATATTATTATTGTTGAGGCCCAATTATTTGAGTCGAGCCTTGATCCACCACTTAGCCCTAATTGTAACTTACCTTTTTTGGACAATATTCTTGGCATATATTCCCCTCACTCTCTCGGCCTCCATTAGAGTGAAAAACCCCCTCTTTGTGAGCTTCTCTCTCTCGGCCTCTTCTTCCCCCCTCTCTGTGTGACCTTTGTGGTTGATATATTGTGGGTATTTTCTTGGCCTTCTTCTTCCCAATCCATAGCAACCGGACCGGTGGCGGCATAGGGTTGTATTGGAGTTGTCTCAAGAAATGGTGTCAATGTTTTTGGTAAACTGAGCCCGATTTTGCACTGCTTGACTGTGGAATTCGGTCCTACACAACACAACTGTCTTTATTTGATGTAACTTGAAAAACGAAGTTATGCTCACAAGGTAAGGGAGACAATGTAAATCGGATACCATGAATTCTTTGAAATGTTCAAATGTTCATCAATCATAGGTGGTGGACAACTAATTTGTTTAGCGTGTAAGGAAAATGACAAATTTGTTTTATTTAACGTTTGACTTGAATACACCCTGCAGTGGCGGACGAAGACATTTTAAATTAGTGGGGCACAATTAAACTTGCAAAAAAATACAGATTTACGTTTATGCAAATACCACTATGTTTGTCATCCTTTTTATCTTCAGCCTCATTTTTCATCACTTTTATTTTGAATATTCATTTCATTAACATTGTGATCATTAAAAAAAAAAAAAAAAAAGAGAGAGCATATTTACGTTGAAATTATTTTTCCATCATAATTAATTTAAGTGAAAAATACAAAAATAACAGCAATTATGAATGTTAAATTATCAAATGCATTTCAATTCAAACAAAGACAAAAAATCACAACAAGAATTCATTACCATAAAATCATCAAAACAAGATAGAAATTAGATCCCTAATTTCATTTCATAAGAAAATACAAAAGAAATCATAAAAAAGAAATGATTTCCCGAAAATTGAGGCATATAACTTTTGATAAATGAATCTCTAAAAAAAATTAAAACTTCATTCAAAATTTTCAGATTTTCCGGGCGGGAGATCTTTTGCTTCAAATCTGATTTCACTTAAAAGAAAAGGAAAAAAAATGGTGGGTCAAGTGTCCCACTAGGACCCACTGTGGGTCCGCCAGTGACACCCTGTTCTCAAATGTTCATCAAAATTTTGAGTTGGTAGGGATTGCTTTGTGAAAGACACAAAATAAATATGCAAACCGCCCGGCGGGGGTACCTGATTTCCAACATTGTGCCACCATCCAGAAATTTGAAGTTTTTAGGCCGAGCAATCCAGAATTGAGTGTATTTTTCTCTGCAGAATATGTGGACCTCAAGGCTTATAAGAAATCCCCCTATTTGCCAATTACCAAAGCAATCATTATATGTTCTCAAGATCAAATTAAGAGTGTGTTTCAGCTCCATCTTGCAAAAAACAAGTTATGTAGTAGTATTTTTTTGGTGAATGGGTGGTTAAAAACTAGGGAAATATTTTAAGTTTATGGATAAAATTAGTCTATTGACTATTGAAAGAATGTATGGTTGAACACACTTGAATTCTAAATGATGAAGTTGTTCATTCATCATTCACATACATTAATTTAAGTCTTCTAGGAACCTTGAAAAGATGAAAACTCCTTGTATTCTCGTGCGGATTAGGCAAGTGAACAATCTGTAGTAAAACAACAATAACATCTCATCAAAATTTAAATATTGAGATCTTTAAAATGTAATAGAATCCTTACTTAATTACCTTTCCAGCTATATATTATATGAATGGAAAATATGTTTTGAACTTCTCAGAATTCTGTTGACATTTACCCCAAAATCTGCCTATTGGAAATCAACTCCCTATTGAAAGAATCTTGACTTCTCTATGTTCAAGTGTTGTGATTACTGATGAATTTTTTCGCCTTTCGAGATTCTCCCACCATAAAGAGGCTTGTTTTCTTAATTATAAAGTAACTAATTTTGCACATCGTTATAATCAAAATGTCTTTCAGTAATATAAAGCCAATCATGATATTTACCTGGTGGCATTCTTCCTTCAAACTAAAGGAATGTCCCCTCTAATGTTGAAGTCACAATCAAGATGATAAGAAGAGTCATCACTATGGTTTTGACTTTCATTACGAAATTGATTTCTTATTCTTCACTTACATGTTCTTTCTCCGAATTTTTGTCACCATTATTATTTTGAAAGAGCTCAAATAGAGCCAACCATTGCTGAAGTACTTGTCTTCTCAATTCTTCATTTTCGATATCATGAACATCTCTTTCTCAAGATGGCATGCGTCAATGTTTCCACCACGAAGACAACTGCAACCAACCATGATAACCAAAGCTCTGAGTACTGTCATTAATTACAACACTTGAACAAAGAGAAATCAAGATGTTTTCAATAGGGAGTTGAATTCCAAGGGGCAGATTTTTGGGTAACTTTCAAGAGAATGTTGAAAACATATTTTCCATTCATATAATATTTTCTGGAAAGGCAATTAAGTAAGGATTCTAGAACATTTTAAAATCTCAATTTGGACATTTCTATGAGAAGTTATTTTTGTTTTACTCCAAATTGTCCAGCTGCCTAATCCACCCAAGAATGACTTTAATGTACGTGAATGATGAATGAACGATTTTGTCATTTAAAATTTATGCATGTTCATTTAACTTGATCTTGAAAACATTTAAAGATTACTCTTGCCCGTGCTTGGAGGGTTATTCCAATTCACAACATAATTGTAAGTCTTAAAATAATTGAGTTAGAATATATGAATTAAGTCATTTGAGAGGTGTCTATCACTCCTTTTTAACATGGGATCACTTTGGTCGATTTCAAGAGTTATGAGTTTCCTTAGCCATGTATACCTTATTTAATTCCTTCGGGTGGTATCTCTTAGGTATTTATAACTTGGGTCGTGAGCCATTTTATCCCTTGTTCTCTTTTCATTATCAATCTTTTCATTCCAACCCTGTATCACATGACACATTAAATAGGTGGTGAGAGATATTGGTGGATCCCAAAATTGATTACAGTTGTAGGTAAATAGTGTGCCTTGTGTGCTTAGGAGATCAATTTCATATATATGTTTGCTAATAACGTGGATTTAGGACTTGTTCGGTAGTGATTATGAGAATTGATTTTTTGACCGTTAGAAAGAAAAGTGGGTCTCACCTGTGAATAAAGAAATAAAAAATGATGGTTGGAATAATGAAATAACGGTCAAAAAATTGATTTTTTGGGGAGTGAAAAATTGCTATCAATCAGCGGTTAATAGTTATATTGCAATTATAGGTGCATTGCAATTAATTATGAATTCAATATATGTTAGAATGTCTGGTGCATGGAAAACTACTAAACTATAATTATCAAAGATGTCGGCGTAATTTAAAATAAAAATCACCGCCAAGGCCTTGATGGTTTTCTGGCTTCAAAAGAGAAAGAAATAGATGTAGAACAAAAACCTCAATATACATTTTGTGTAGCCATGTTCAATAGACCGTATCAACAATTATAAACAAACAGAGAGATACAGACAATCTCGTATTATTTACTTCTATGGTTCTTGTTAAGTTAAAAATATGAATTTCTCTATCACATCAACATAGAAATCTTGTTCAAGGCCATTGAAATATTAGAAAATTCATGTGTATTTGTAGGTAAAATGAATAAAATATCAAGCATGTTTATGATATTTAATGTTAAAATTTTAGACATTAATTTAAGGACTGATAGTCTATTAAGAATTTTGTTACGATTAATCTCCACATATCTGGTTTATTAAGTTTAACAACATTGAATGAACCCCTTTTTAGGAAGATAATTTTACAGAAAACAAATTTCTTATATAAAAAACCATATCAAAGAAATCTTAAGACAGCCGCATGTTGTAGGCAGCTTTCACCAATAAACGACTTATAACATGACAATTCAGACAACAAAATCTGAATATTGCTTTCAAAACTTAAGGTCCATTCCTAAATCTGAAAATAGCACAATTCCTAATTACTTTATGCAAGCATTCACTGAAAACAACATAAAACATAATAGTTCAGATAATTAAATCCGAATGAAAAACAAGGCACTGTGAAAAAAAAAAAAAAAGGATATAGCTAAAAAGTACTAAATCTAGCCACTTTAAATCCAGGAGTCTGCCCTTAGATCTTCAGAAACCAATGTTATTTGGAGCTACTGGCACCAGCAGCAAATGAAAAATCCTTTCCTCCCCCAGAGTCGGGCTTCGTCCCGTGAAGATGTGGACTCACCAAACCAGACTTGTGTTTCTCCGTTTCAACTGCAACATCCTGTATGAACTTTGCATAAGACTCCCTCAACTGAACAAGTTCTTCGTAACTGAGCTCCTCAATAGGGCGCGGGAACGAATATTGACTACCCTTCTTTTTCTCTTCCAGTTCTTCTTGACGCCTTTTTTCAGCTTCTATTACGTCCTCATTTATGGTAAGTTCCAGGTTCTGTTGGATAATTTTTTCACTCCGATAAACCTGCACCACTTTCTCTGAGTGGTTAAGTACTCGAGTATTTCCAGTGAGGAATCTATCAGCAACTGTGTTCACATCCGGGTGGCCAAATGCAAAAGGCTTTCCACTAGGCGAGAAAAAAATCATGCCAACTTCAGCACCGGTCAAAGTGCAAAGCTCGCTAGCCTTTTTGAGAAGACCAGAATGCCGTTTGGAAAAAGTAACTTGCAAGTTTTTTTCGTTTCCAATTTTTTCCATGGCCACCTTTTGGCGACCCTTGCCTTTTCTGGAGGACGCTTGACTGGATGAACTCATGGTGAAGAACGAGCAAAATAAAAGAGCAGGAAGATGAGAAATGAAGTTGAGATTTTATTTTCAAGTAAATGGTTTTTTATAGGAATCATGGATTATGGATCCCAGCTGGCTTCTTCAACTCTTGATTTACGAAATTCTGTTCAAAATGTATAATACTCTGCCGTTCTTCCAATTTTAATTGTAACTGTAATAGACAAAATCTGAATGCCATCAATACGAAAATTAAATTTCAATCCTAATTAAGGTCACTGTAATAATAGTTTTGTATATATAAATAATGACTTTTTGGGTAACATTTTGATGGATTTTGAAAATTCTTCTTAATTTAGGTGTCTCTAATAGAAATTTTAATGAATGTGAACCTTTAAAATTTTGGTATCCTAAATAACTAGTAGATTCATAAAATTTTCATTAATTAATTCCATACGTTATTATTTATCTCATAATGTACATTAATTGTGTGTGCAAATAGATAATCTCCCTTGTAGATACCACATAATTATTGCCCATCGTGGCATACATGATTGGTGATTATTTGATTCATGAGCCAATAAAAATCTATCATATTAATGCATTAAATATTCACATGTTATGGGTATGACATCATATTAATGCATTAAATATTCACATGTTATGGGTATGACACATAGGACGACTACCATAATGAACAACTACTAATAGCATTACTCGAAAATTAGAGCAGCGTGTGATAACAGAGTAATCTGTGTACAATAACTGTGTAAGCTCCAAACTCGAAAAACATTACTTTCTCATGTGGTTTTGACTGCTATATAAATCGAATGTCGACGTATATTAATTGCTATGATTGTGGAAGATCCAAGCTACAAAATTAAAGTTTCATTAGCTTAGGGAAAATATATAAGCGGAACATCGTGAATTCGGCATAGCTTAGCAGTAAACACTTGTCTCTATTTAATGTACTAGTTGTGTTAGCTCCATTCAAGTGACAAAGTTACGCTCACAAGGTAAGGTCGAAATCAGATGTCATAAACTCTTTGAATGAATAAAATCTTCATTGGTTATAGGTGGTGGAAAACGTTATCTAGATGTTTTATGAGTAAGGAAGCAGGGCTGATCATGTGATTGTCGAGGCTCGAGGCGCAATCCATAAATTAGGCTTCCCAAAATCAACATAAATACAAAATTCAACCGTGTATTAGGGTTGGAAAAAGGGTCTAAGGAAAGAGCGAAGGGAACAGATTAACAGAAGAAGCTGCCTAAGGAAATGAGGCCATCGCTTGGTCGTCGTTCGATTGGAGTTGGAGCCGCTTGAGGCCGGAGGTGGGGGAGGAGCAGTCGCACTATTACAGGAAAACCGGAGGGGCAATGAGTATGGAAAATATATTTTTCAATTTTCATTTGACTTCTTAAAAAAAAAGGCCAAAAATAGGCCCCCTCTAATTTTGAGCTTGAGGCGCAGGCCTCATTGGCCTTGCCACAACATTGGCTCTGCAAGGAAGATGTCAACTTTATTAATTTGAAGTTTGACTAGAATAAACCCTCTTACATGGGTATTGAACTTTTCAACATCTCAATTTTGTGTTGGTAGGGATCACATTGTGAAAGACACACAAAATGAATAAGTGAACTGCTGGAGGAATGCCAAATTTCCGAACTATGTATTGCCATCCAGAAATTTGAAGTTATTTGACTTATAATATAGAACCAAAAGTTGGATACACTTTTGTCTAAACAATATGTCGACCCGAGGCTTAGAGGAACACCTTTTATTTTCCAAACATGCACTTATGACCACTTTACATAAGTCAGTTTGTTCTCACCACCAGTCGAACCCCCACCACAAGAACCTACCGTTACTCTGAGCATGATAGACTCTTTTTCGACCCATCCACTTTCTTTTACAACTTTTCTTTCTTTCTTTTTTTTTCCCTTTCCAAAAGACACATTTGATGCCTAGGGTGGTTTTATAACCTTTCTTTGAGATTCTTATTCCCGGGGACAACAAAAGCCAAGCCCAAATATGTATCTTATGTCCTGTGTGACATTCAAACCCAATATAGATTGTGTGCCTTGACAATAAATAGTCATTCAACTGATCTCAATCTGTCATCATAGCATTTTATATAATTGTATCCCAAAAAAATTCTTTCATTTTATCGACATGAAAGAGGAAATAACGATGACATTAATTCGGCGAAAATGAAATATATTTTTTTACTTCATTGTCTATTGCATGGTCATAAATCTATTCATGATTATACGTCAAAGAGAAAAAAGTTGAAAATCATTAAATTCCAACAATTCTAGGTAAAAGAAAAATAAACATATAGGTAAAATGATTTAATTAGTTATTTGCTCGACAACATAAGATGCAAGAAGAAAAATAAGAAATTATCTTAGAATACGTCAAACAGAAAAAAGTTGAAAATCATTAAATTCCAACAGTTCTAGGTAAAAGAAAAATAAAATTATAGGTAAAATGATTTAATTAGTTATTTGCTCGACAACATAAGATGCAAGAAGAAAAATAAGAAATTATTTTAGAATACATCACCGGATTTGTAATAAAAATGTAGAAAAAAAAGTAGAATTCTTGCACCAATATTTCATTCCCCTTCCAATAAATGCTTCTAATTTTCAATTGCTTGGTGTTAATCTTTTTGAATTTCTCTTTTGAATCTTCCTTTTTGTTATCTTGTCTCTAATGTATCAAGAACCTCTCAAAAGTATGAGAAATATGTATTTATAGATGCCCCTCCATTTTGTGTAGGAGTAGGATTTTTATGGATTTTAAAACGGCCAAAAAAAAAATGCGCCCTAGACACTCAGTCGCAGCGCGTAAGCGCTACGAGACAGCGCCTAGGCGCCGCTTCAGTTTAATCATAGCGCCTAGGGACTGATGATAGCGTCTGGGCGCTGCCTCAAAGAGAGAGAGAGAGAGAGAGAGAGAGAGAGAGAGAGAAATTGGTAGGAGGTGGAGTAATATATATTAGCCAAACTCATACAAATCCAAAACCATTTTGAAACATATACAAACATATGCAGAGAGAAACAGAAACAAGGAGAAAGAAAGAGAAAGAGGAGAGAAAATAGAAAGGAAAAAAAAGGGGAAGAAAAAGAAAAAAATATAAAATTTTGTCAACATGTTAGGAATTAAGTGCTTTATACTATTAAACTTGAATTCCTCAATTTTGAAAGGTAAGTAAAACGTTACTTATTATCAAATTATATTTAATTTTATAGTTGTTAAATTGTTAGATTAAATTCAATTTTATTGAAGGAGTTAAATATAATAAACTATGAAATTAAGTAAAATGAAAGAAAAACTAGTTTTAATGATTGAAGAGACTTTAGAAATCGCTTAAACGCGAAATGATTAAATTTGAGTATCGTATATTTAATTATTGAAATTACTTAAAATAATTAATTGTTGATTTAAAATTTATACTAAGTAGCATGTATAGAAGTTAAAAATATTTTTTTCTCTTGATCGCCTCTTTAAGTGAAAGAAATTTTGTGTGGCGATGTACAATAAATTGTACTATTTCGGAATACACGGTCTTAAATAAGCTAGTTGCTTGACATTTTGTTAACCATCATTAATTTTATCTGATTGGCAACTATATTTATATATCTGCATGTCAACTAATTATCTGTATAGGTGAATTGCAATAAATTCTAAGACTTTGGCATAATCTAAATAAAAAAAGCCAATGCCTTGATGGTTTTTTGGCTTAAAAAAATGAAAAAGATAGAGTGAAAAACCTTAATATACGTTTCATACAGACGTGTCCATTAGACCATATCAACAATTATAGAACAAAAAGTTCAAGACTATTGAAATATCCAAAAAAGTTCTTAGAAAAAAATCATGTAGTTCTTTGTAGGGTACAATGAATAAAATATCAAGCTTGTTTATAATATGTAAGAGAAACTCGAAAAATTAATATTACAGACTAATTTAAGGACTATTGCTCTACAGGGATTGATTTTAATAAATTTTTGATTGATTAAGTTCACTACTAAAAAACGGAGTTTCACGAACGGATTTTCCGTTTCTAAAGCCTCAATATCCGTTGCTAATAATCTTCACTAACGAAATATTTGCAACCACAAATTCGTTGATAATTTGAGGGTCGCTGATAGTTATCAACAGATCATGCCGTAGGTAAAGAATAAACATTTTACCAAAGAATTTTTCGTTGGTAAAGTGTGAGTTTTTTACCAACGGAGTTTTCGTTGGTAAAAGTCTTAACCAATACCAACCGACTTTTCGTTGGTAAATGTCTATCATCACAATTAGCAAAAATCAATGTTGTAAATAACCGTATAGTAAAAAAGTTATTTATTATTATTATTATTATTATTATTATTATTATTATTATTATTATTATTATTATTATTATTATTTATTTACTAATTATAATATTTTTTTATTTTTAGCCAACTGAATTGAAAGACCAAAATATTGTTTAACTCCTTATTGGACCACAAATTTTTAGAGGAGAACTACAAAGATATTGTTGTAAACTTTCGATGTGGGATAAGTGAATTATTTTTACCAACAAAATATCTGTTGCTGAAAGATCAAAATGTTAAACGGTTATATTAGGCACGGAATATCCGTTGGTAAAGAGATATCATTTTTACTAACGGATAATCCGTTTCTAATTACCAATGGAATATTCGTAGGTAAAAGATCAAAATGTTAAACGGTTAGATTAGGCATTGAATATCCATTGGTAAAGAGATATCATCTTTATCAACGAAAAATTCGTTGCTGATTATTGTAGCTAAAAGTGAATTACTTTTACCAACGGATAACCCGTTTCTATTTATCAACGGATACAATCCATTGGTAATATTCGGTACATCACCTACGGAATTTCCGTCGGAGAAAGATCCAAATGTTAAACGATTACATTAGGCACGGAATATCGGTTGATAAAGAGATATCATTTTTACCAACGAAAAATTCGTTGCTAATTATCGTAACTAAAAGTGAATTACTTTTACCA